AGCAATTGATATACTGTGACGTTTAGCAATACACCTCTCTACTTTTCACTCTCTTTTTTGTGATCAAGACAGCAAGAACAAGTTCCCTCTTCCTCCTTCTTCAAGTGCTACTGGTTATTTCGTTTGTTAGCATTTTTGTTCGCTTCTGTTGGATATCCACTGACAGTTACGATGAAACAAAATGTTTTTCCTCACTGGATCGATTTTTTCGCAATCACAGAATATGTATGCCCCATCATCTAAAGATAAAATTAATTCAAATAAGGTCATACAGAGCAATCTTTGTGGGGGTTCTGGAAGTATAAGCCTATCCGACGAATATGTCGTCGCCAGATGGCATTTTTTGGTGACAAATGGATGGCAGTCATCGTGCTTCACTGCACCTTAGAACTGTTATTTTGTGAGCGATTACACAGATGAAGTATTTCAATCCTTGCATGTAAATATCAGAGTAACTGAGTAAACCTGTCATTCATACGTGTATATACCAATTCATTCTCGTGGACTTGTTTATGTTTTCCCGACCAAAAATGAAAAAAGCCTTCTTAATTTATTGTGTCACCAAACTGCACTCCGGTGCCGGAATGTGTGATACATGAAATTGGGAAAACCTAATGAGAGATGTCGTTTGTTCTGAAAACTAGTTGCGATAATAACGGTTTTTATTCTAGAGTGAATTTCTCCCTTTAGGACTATCTGTACTCAGGATATATTTTTAATCATTTGCATATTCATTTACACGTATTTTGATTCATTCAGCATTGTGCGGGGTTTCACATCGACCTTGATCATTGTTGTTATTATTCCTTTGAGCACCTTTACTGCGTTTCCAAAGAACCATAGTTTCGCCACCATTTTGTTGCTGAAAAGAAGTAAAACGGATTCCATGCAACAGCACATTTTCAAACCTTTACTTTTCATTCAGCTGCCAACCGTGTTCCCATCGCATTGTCAGGGATCACCAATGGTTACGTACAAAGCTTCCATACAACCAGTTTTTGCTCAGCCCGGCGATGAGCGTCAAACTCTGACTGAGAAAGAGTTTGGCGAACTGGGTCCATTGAACATGCCCGATGATCACGTGACCAAAGCGAATAGTCTACGATATCTGAGTCCACATTCGCATGCTCGTGTAAACCAAACTAAGCGGATGTTTATGTGCACGCGTACTCTGGTAGTATTAGTGGTTTTACATCTGTGCACTATACTGTAATGCATTCGTCCGCGGTGTTTTTCTGGCAATTAGTGGTGATTCTCTGTGCTGTTTGGCTGGTTTTATATGTCCAGTGTCAAATTGTCCCTGATGGAAACCAAATCGGTGCACCTCTTCCGATTGACACGTGACTTGACTTTGNTTTCCCCCCCCCCCCATCCCACTGTCAGGTATATACATTTCACGTTGTTTGACCTAATACCGATCAGGTCTTATTCACTGAATGTTTTTTCCTTCGTAAAACTACCGAGCTTGTTTAAAAATGGCATGTCTCCTTCTCCCATTCACCTCTGACTAGCCACCAACTGGTATTTCTCGTCCAGAACGCCATGCAAGTGGAAAATTTAGTATTTTTTCCTTTTTTGACGAACAATTATTGAATCAATTTGCCACAAAGAAGCAGTATGTGATAAGCGTTTCCTTTCACTCCCGATTCAGGGTTATACGATCAGAATATATAGTGCTGAGATAGTGAACGTACTGTGTAAACTACGCACACTTGATGCTGTTACTGTGGATCATTGCCTTTAAGTCTTCCGTTGAAGTTATTGTATTTTGTTACATTGTAACTTCTTTCATTGATTTTCCCTACAATTATGATAGGATTTGTCCTCATAATATGATTGACCGATAGCTCAAACGAATCTGTTTCGTCTGCTGCATTGACAAAAGCAAGCGAATGTCGGTTATCGAAAAAATAATAATTCTGACATATTATTATTGTTCTTTTTGCGACAAATTGATTATTTTGCTATTCCAGCATTTTATTTGGGTGTAAAAAACACAGTTTGGAAGTGTAGTTTGCACACCGATTGTCAAGTTTGATTCTTCGCAGGTGTTGTGGTCTGACGCAAAACCACAAATTCTCGGTTGGTTTTATGATTTCACTCTCCTCATCATTCTGCTGTATGCTCCCGTTCGCGGTTTAGGGCACAGGTTCCATGCTGAGCATCTACAGCGAACGGGAGTCAAGTTACACCCACGGGATCGCGATTACCGGTGACCTACGGCTAGACATCCGTTATGATACACAAAGTTCCACGCTGAGAATCGCTGTCAAACAAGCACGTGATCTGGCCATTGCGGACAAGAAACACCAAGCCTGTAACCCGTGAGTTCATATACAGACAGTCTATTTTATATAACCGCACACTTCCCCGCAGACAAAAGATCAAATGTATTTGAGAGGCTGGGGTAAAATTGTTGTCGTGGTGATGATGAGCACGGTTCCATGACTTCTCCCATCATTTGCAAATAATTGCTCAAGTATTTTCCATACGGAAGAAAACACTGAACATCACTGCGAAGTACTAGTTGCACGAACCACATCGTCTTCTTTCTCTTTATATATATATGTATTGTTTACTTCGCTTTGAAAGATCCACCAACAAAGTTCGATCAACTCAGATATGTTGATCTTTGAACTTTCTTTTTTAATTTTATTTCAAAGCCAAGAAATTCACTCGAAACTGTTGGAAGCTCAAGCGAAATCCGAGCGGTTTCACTCCTTCATGCTAAACTGAAACCCTGCTCTAGGTATTTCACTGTCAGAACACAAATAACCCGGAAAGTTTTACCTGTTAATACTCGAAGAGAATTGATTTGATACAGTCACGTTTCTCCTGGTCTATCGACCAATGAATCAGATTTTTGCGTAATCTATCTTCTTAATGCACCTGAAGAAATTTCTCGAAACGATTGTGGTTCTGGGAGTGGTGGTGGTGGTGGCGGTGTCGTTGGTGGTCGTAGCAGTAGTACAACGAGAGTTGATGAGGACCAAATAACGTTGGTCTAGGCAAAGCGGATTTTTTTGGTTGACAATCAATAGTAGTCTGGTTTGGGCAATCTGTTGTTTGAAAAGGTAGCTGCAGTAATCAATCACAAATGAGAATTCGTACGATATTGTCCACTGAGAATCTAGGAAGCGTTCACGATTCAGCTATTTGTCTGATCCCGTTATACAGTAGTGATCAACTATGTAAGCTCGTCAACCTTAGATTGGCCCATACTTCCGCTTCACTAACAGCTTCCGCGTTCCGTCTTGCTAATACCCATGGTTGGAAGATCATGACAGCCGTCGCAGTTGGATGAATAACTTGCCTAGTTAATAGGCCAATTTCAGACTCGTTTCCTGTTTTTGGTCTAACCGACACAACCATTGTTTCTGTCCCTCTCCACCCAACTTGCACCTGTGAACAGGTTTTTGTGGACTATGATGGATTTTTCAGAGATCGGGAGGACAATAGTTGTAAATGTAGATGAGTGTACAGATTGTTTTTTTTCGTTATTCTAGTTACATGCTGTTTATATGCTGAAAATCAAAATCAAATGGTCAAGAATGTTTGACCGGATTAGGTGCATGCCATGGATCTGCCGTACGTATGTACTGAGTCACTATTTGACACAATTCTGTCCTCGCCACAGAATGTGGATCATATAAAAGCAAACAACGTGGAGCTTGAAAACCAAATGAAAGTCGATTTGACAGATCACGGGTATCACCGTTTTCCGTATGGACGTTCCCTGAAATAAGCCCCTATTTTTTGGTATTTTAAGTTTCACTGCTACCTCAAAACCTTGGTCTCAAGCCAACAGATGCAATTCGTAGCATCCCTCATGATGTAGGTGACTCGAATTTTGTGGCTAAATAAATGGAAAATCATTTCTGGATTGGTTTATATGAGCGAAGTGAGTCCCCATAGAACAGAACAATTCATATACACGTCTATCTACTCCCCCCCCCCCCCACACACACACAAGATTACGAGATACCTGATTTATGTGAACAGGTACTCAGTTGATGTTCATTCATATTCAGTGTATATCACCATATCTTTGAAAGTGATCAAGTGGAAGGCTGCAATAAAGGGAATTTCGATATTCGCCAAGGAGTCTGTTTTTATTCGCATCACCTTTAAAACAGAAACGTTCTCGTTATCTATTCAGAACGTACACTAAAACGAGTGCTGTACAACAGTGATTTGAATGCACGGCTGTCCGTAAAGATTCGCTGGATGAGCGACAGTCACCGAAAGGCACATCTCGACTGGGCGATACATCGGTGTCAGTGCTGAATAAGGTAAAATCGTGTGGGGCTATTCAGTAGGTTTTCAGCGTTGTTCATCTGGAAGATAAAAGTTAGTCCCTGTTGGTAACAGTGGCTTCATTTGCTAATTCATTTGGTCATGAGTCCGTTGAAAAAAACGAAACGCACTATTTTCACCAAAACTTAGAGTTACCCACCCCCACTCCTTGATAAAACCCTCATCACCTTGGTGATATACTCATTTCGCTTGTGTTTCATCCTTCCATCTATCACTTGTAATTCAAACCGTGCTTCATTGTTCCACCACAACATTAACCTATTGTGTTCTATTCCATCTATACGCTTGCAATGGTCACACGAAAGGGACTTATCGAAGTAACCCGTCATCTGACGTATCTTACCGACCATTGCACATACAGACCACAACGTTCCGATATTCGTCTTGCTGCAAGTTCTGAACGGGGAAAATTAGATTCCTGTTTCAAGGATGATGAGGTTAAAAAACGATTACTTTTCAGTAGGTGAATTGGCATCAATCGGTAGGTGTGACTGTAGTTCACAAAAGTGGGTGGGGTCAACCGTGTGATCTTGGAAATTAAATTGTGCGATTGCTTCAATTTGACCTTAGGTATTGGTGAGCACAGCTCAATGGACAGTTAGACGGATTTGTGATTTTTTTATTCTGTGGTAGTGAAGTTTCCATGTTTTAATCAACAGTGTAAACAAGCGGGCAGTACTTGATTGAATAGTTCAAAAAGTTGACCTATCCAAATAGTTCCATAAATTCGATTAAATCATTTTCTCGTGCAATCAATAGACGTTCAACTTGGATGTTTGTGATTCACCGTCAGTGTACTAAGTTACCTGGCATAACTGAGGTGCAATTGGTTGACCGATGAGAAATTTTTCTTAATTACTTGGTGGTTGTTCGGTGATGGCGCATTATTTGCCTTTTTAAGCAGACGTAACCGCAGTTCCCAGTCTAGCGAAAGTACTTCAAACACTTAGCAGACGCTATCCTCTGTTTCTAAAAACTGGTGAACGTTTTCAGCTATGGTCGGTTCAGTTTTTGACAGATTTGCTAATTGTGAAGTTCATTTTAACATTTACAAGCTTATCTTCTGGTTATTTTTTCAAGAACTCGAGTCAGCCCGGTTCCAGCCAACCTATCCCACTATGAAGATTAGATTAGTGAGAACAGCAATTATTCTACGTGCTTGTGTGTGTACGCACGCTTATGTGTGTCTGTTTTGACCAAACAACGTTGCTGTAACCCCAACACAATGATCAACAGCCCTGTGATGTGTCAATCTGTAGGTGATATCCTGTCATTATCACAATCGTCTGAATCGTGCCGCAGTTCAATCGCATACGCTTGTCTGCCCTCTAAGTCACAGCTTAGATCGTAGAGCACGTACTGCCAATATAAAAACCAAAGCAAATCCGATAATTGTAGATGATTACTTTTGCATAGCTCTGTACCTCTCGAAGACAGAATGTGTATCATGGGTTCTGAGTACTGACAATACAAATTCCGCATTGATCATGTGATGAAGATTTATGCACATGAGTTAATCAGAATACCTCCACGACAGTTTGCAGCCCGGGGTCTTTCTCTCTGGCGCGCAATTCTCTTTTCAAGATGTGAATATATATATATATATATATATGTGTGTGTGTGTGTGTGTGTTTGTGTACAGTTGTATATGCCGTTATTTGCGTTCTAGCGTGTTGAGCCCAAAGCGGTGGAATTTACTAAAGTCCAGTACATGTTTCTGACTTTGATAAACGAAACCAAACCCACACAGTAGTGTGTATTGTGACACGTTTCATTAGTAACCAGGTCCGGATGACATTTCTGCTTACCGCATAAAACGAACCGAAATGCGCCCACGATTGAACGATTGAAATGAGTTAGTACAGTCAAAACGGGCAACAAAGAGCTGAGGGAGTATGTAGCAAACTAGGATCTTCCGATCATAACACGCACAAATGAAAAACTGCTATGTTAGATCACGTGAACATACAGACATCTAAGGGTGACCTGATGGGATATTGTCATTTATGATTGTTATCTGCACTTGTCTAATAATCATAAAAATGGAAGGGTGTCTGAAATCGCTCACCAAGTATACACGCTGTTCCTTGGTTGTTGTGTGCTCGTTTCTTCCACTATGGATTTCTTGTTGGTACTTATAACTGTAAATTTCGAGGATAAGAGTTTTCCATATTTATTCGGTGGTTCTAAATTTGATTTCTCACAATAACCTTGAGAGCATCGTACAACTTTAATCCTTGTTAGGCAGCGCGAGTAGTCTGTGCCAACCGGGGTTGTGATGGCTCAAACCCAGACCCTTGGGACTGGGGTAAGTCTCACATCCTCAGATTAAAATGGTTGGATTCAGCAGGCAATTTACGGGGAACACAATACGGCATAGCTCCCGTTCCTCTCTGCCACTGGCGACAGTCACTGAGAAATCGACTGATTTGATGAACTAGTGGCCTACTCGGACTGTTGTCCATTTTATATGTCTATTGAAGCTTTCCAAGCGCCGATCGTTCGTATGCACTGAGATAGGAGGGTCGAGTGAAATAAATAATGTTTTCTGGATTAATAAACGATCAACCTCATGAACCGGTACTTTTATTTTACCCTTACTAGTAAAAATGACTGAGGTATGTGTTTTCTAAATATATAAGGTATTCTGAAAGACATGTGCCTTAGTTCAGAGGATGTTTACAGAAGAATCGTAGATGCTTACTTTGTAAGATGTTAGAAAGTATCGTAGTTTAGGCCATGCTCCCGAATCAAGTAGGCTGTATCATATTAAGTTGGTACGACACATTTTGAGTTGTGATGAGACGTTAAATGACATGCTTCATTATTCTAATCGGTTGCTTCTGTGCGTTCATCGTTCGGTTCACCTTCCCCTTTGTATCGACTTGCCGTTTGCAATGGACAGAAGAAATTATTTTCATATCCAAATTTAATTGCTAAAGAGTAATTCAGCTGACAGTGTGTAAATCAAAAGAATCCAGTCAACGAAGGTCTATTTCCCACCAGCTACCATCCTGATATCACGTGTTTTGAAGATAATAAACTATCGGGTTTCCAACCATCTTTTTCAATGTTTATTTGGTATTCTCGCCTCACGGTCAACGGTGATGTGAAAAAATTAACGGCTTTGCAACTCTGTACTCCAGCTAGCCGGAATTTAGAACAGCGATGCCAGCGGAAAGTGATTCAGGTTTCCTGAAAAACTAAATCCAGATGAGGGGTTAATTTGGGAACAGGAAAGTGATACAAAAATCGCAACTGTTTCTAATTTACTTAGCTTGTATTTGTTCAGTTAATTGTGAGAGCGAACAGTTTTTCGCTGTATCGCTTTATTATATGCAGTAATTCACTTCATCACTCAGCCCTTTTCAGATGCTGTTCATCGTTCAATTTGTTAAAGGTGTTTGAAATCCTGTGTTTGATAAATTCGTTATAGTGTATCAGTCATCAAGGTTACACGTACTGGCTGCACCCTTTGATATCAACGTGCGTGTGTTATTGTCGTTTGTTAATCGGTCGTAAAATTTTATTGCATACTAATGAAAAGGATTGTATTGGTCTGTCGTTCATACAGATCTCAGTTGCATGAAAAATTTGGATTAATCTCTGATTCAACTTACTACTGTGGGCCGATCATAAACGTTATTAACACTACGCTACTCATGAGTAGCTGTAGGCGAAACGTGTTTTTCTATATCTAGCACCATAATTTTTTCTGTTTCAGATATGTGAAGGCATATCTCCTACCAGACAAGACCAAGGGTAGCAAACGTAAAACTTCATACAAGAAGCACACCAGGAATCCAGTCTTCGAGGAGGAACTAAAATATCATATTCCCTACAGTGAACTCTCCGAGCGATCCCTACAAATCTCGGTCTGGCACAAAGCTAGCGTTGGTACAAATCTGTTCCTCGGGGAAGTGATCATTCCCTTCGCTGACTTCTCTTTTGATGCCGGCGCTAATTGGTATCCTCTATCAGAAAGGGTAAGCGATTGAGCACTGAAAAAGTGCCACATTACTTGGCTTTCGTTGTTTTCATACCGTGTAGGAAAATCCCCTGCTAGTTATGCATAGTCTTACAATGTTTTTATTTATCCTAAAAGATGCCGAGATAAAGAACCTGCTGAGCCTATTCCAATATATAACACAAACGAACAATTGCAACACCATTTATAAAAGCTCACCTGCGGCAAAGTATTTTGACTTAGTTGATCGCTTTTGAATTCCGCTTAGGGTACTCTTGCATCAACTAGTTTTTTGTTTCGTCACCCATTGCTCACTTCATCACAACCACATTCTCTTTCACTCCATCATTCAGCGTCAGATTGCTCTTTCACCCAGTTTACAAATCTTCCGTGGAGAATTGCTGTTGGCCCTGAAGCTCGTCCCTGGTGGTACCATGGGACGACAGAGTGAATTGCACGTGTGGATCAAATCGGCCAAGGGCTTGAGCACCTCTACAACTGGTCGATCAAAAAGTTCAACTGTGGATCCTTATTGTAAAATGTAAGAACCAGTAATACTGATTGTTTGAATGTTATTCTATCGCATACTTGTATAAATCCTCATGATAATTACACATTTTCTCGACGTTGCCGGGATTCTGCTGCTAACGGTCACGAGCTGATTTTGGATTGACATTATCATAGGATATCAAAACAAATTTGCTCTAACTTATTCAGTTGTTCTTCCCTTCGCGTCGGAATCTCTGAGAAACAGTTTTGTTCACGAAAAGCTTCTACTGGAAATGCTTGTGTGATTCGTTGAAGAAGATTCCATAAGGTATCTGGGCGAACCGTTGCTTATTTGTCATCACATGCTGCTATCACGATGATTTGCTACCCCTTGGTTTGGTTTTTCTCTACCCCTAGCAGCCGATGAATGACATTCGTAATGCCGTCAGAAAACCATAATATGGCATGACAAACTTAAATTGCCTGAGACCGCCGTAAACATTGGTTTTGGATTTCTTTTTTAGCAAATAAATAAAACAGAAACGATCAGGTAGAAACACAAAAAACATTCTTGCAGACAATTGAAAAGAATCTCCACGAGTACATTGTGAAAGTTTTATCAAATGGTTTGGAATCAGTTGGATGGTCCGGTACTCAGTTGGCATGTTTGTTCCTTTTTCCAATGTTCTGCCATTTGTGATATTTTTATAGATACATCCTGCCTGACAAAGCAAAGAACAGTAAACGAAAAACTGCTGTGGTAAAGAAGAGCAATAATCCGGAATGGAATACCAATTTTGTTTATCAGAATATCGATCGAACCCAGTTGAACGGCATGGGTTTGGAAATATCTATCTGGGACCATGATCGGCTCTCATCCAACGATTTTCTTGGCGGTTGTCGACTCAATAATGGCAACAGTAAGTGTTATTTCCCCTTGCGATCATCACTATTCTTATTTACGTCACTGGTTTATATCTCTCTATTAAATCTGTTTATGGGATTTGAGATTTGGCATATTCAGTTCTGCCGCAATTGTCATCCTCAGTTGTACCTCACACAGAATTACTTATAGCAGTACTGCTGTGGAAGCTGTGTCCGGACTCTGCGTTGCAATGATCTATGAGACAGCAACGGATCAGCTTTCACTTTCAGTTTGTAACTAACTTGATCATTCACCTATCCCTTTACCCGCTCCATCCTCCGTCCTTTCGGTCATCTACACCTGTATTTCGTGTTTTTCCTTCATCTCAGTGTCCCAACGATGGATGGACGCAACGGGAACCGAACAGTCTGTTTGGATTGCTATGATGGAGCGTCCGCAAACGTGGTTCGAAGGCCTGATTCGATTACGTGCCAATCTGGACTGAGTCCGTGTGTTCTCACCACCCGAATCCAATTTCCACTCGAGTGCCTGGAGGTGAATGATTGTTTGTATGCGTGATTTTTTTCCGTTTGTGTGTGTGTATAGTCAGTTCAAAATCGGAACGGATGATAATAATATGAACATATTTCTTTACCGAACGTTCAAGAGCTTCTATTGCTTCCACTCGCCTATTATGTCCACTGTTCCCTATGTGCATGCTAGCGTATTCTCTGAAGAGAATGGAGCACCGGAGTGGGACACAGTGAACGACCGGACGGATAGCTTTAGACATTCTTCTGCATTCAGATGCGCTCGGAACGAACGGATTAACTAACTTATTTTTCTATGTGTACCTGTTTTCTACTGATTTACACGAAACCGTAATGTAATCTTCCATCAACGACCTCTGCACTCCTAAAAAGTAATAACTTGGCCAATTTATCTTGGTACATTGCATCACCGGCATCTTTGCTCTTTCCATCCTTCCATCTGTCTCTCTCTATATTTACATATATTCACACATTTTTTGCATTTCCGGCTTCTCAGTTTTGACAACAGACATGACAACAGTACCTCTCTCTCTGATTTGTCACCATCTTGCCATCTCTTGATTAATTCCCCAGTGAACCACACGAGCATGCGCATTGCCATGTTTTGTTCAATGAGCCTCGGCGGTGAGAAAAAACAATTACCAATTTGGACTGTGGACCCTACTTGAATGCTTGTTCTCATTTCGAGCATGTCGAATATCGCTCCTTCTCTCATTGTCTTCTCATCACCATTACCCTCTTCCAACCTAAGTTGTTCGCCATACTTGCTACCAACATTCCTATAGTTGTCTCTTTCACACATCTCCTCGTCTTCTTCTATATTCTCATTCTTCCCGTCTGAATCGGCTGCGTTGGCTTTGATAAGCGTGCAAGTATCACTCAATCTCGTGCTTTAACATTCCCCTATTCGGAACTGTTTTGTTCGTTTTTTTTTGTTTTCTTTTATATCGATCGTAATTGACCTTCTTGGTTGTCATGACGCCTTGTAGATCGATGGTATTGAGTAGACAAACGTATTAGTAGCAACCAAAATCATGTACGTCATTGGAAATCTTGCATTTCCTAAACAGGTGAAACCTCGCAAACTATTCCACTGAGAAAACCGACAACAGACGGCCATCTAGAGGACCTGGGAAGAGAATGCTTGCTAATCCTTCACACTAACAGATACCGGATGTACAATAAAGCCAACATCGGTCTGAAAAGTTTTAAACATTAAGAAGAATTATAAAGCGAAAATGATGCAAGACCTCTAAGTACATTTCACAGTGCTTCAAAATGAAGACAAATGGAGTCATTTCGAACGCATCTTGTACCTTGTGGTCAGCGATTGCTTGTCGCTGATAAGATTCTTCAATTGACTGTCCCACTCTGATCACTACCTGTCCGACATGAAATTCTACCTCTTTTACACGGGTTTGCGTCAACACTACCTTTGATTACTTCATGTCTCACTTCCGCATTGGATAAAGTGTTCGTACCATCGTGCCACTGTGATTCTAAGCTATCGATTGCAAGTAACAGCCTTGTCATCGCGCGATTGTCAGGAAGAACCCGGGATGGGACTCTGCGTTTTTATTTAGCTCTTGGCGTAGTATTTAGCTAAGCCATCAGGAGCAGCACCATTGAACAAGTACTTTGGCGTACTGGATGTTATAACATAGATGAAGCACTTCTGCGTTGGAACTTCTGACCTGTAACAGGTTCTGACAATTAGTCTTAGACATCAGTGGTTCGGGATCTCGAGTTTTTCCATCTGTTTTCGATATGTAGCAGTTGTGTTACTCAGATGCGTGGGAAAAGCACATGAATGAAGTCCTGATAAACTTTTATTCTAAAAGTCAGTATCCTTTTTACTGAACCATATTGATCAAAATTGTTTAAAAAAATACGCACCGAGTGTAGTCGATTTGAGCAGTTAATTGGATTTAGGTTTGACCATTAGTGAGCATCTCAGGCAGCAGACGGAGGGAACAATATCGGTTTGCGCTTTGTTCTGTGATACACTGTGTTCCATGATAGCCGGTGCAGTCGAAAGAACTCTTGTTTGAGGTGTGCTGACTCCCAAACCGATGGTTCATCCCAAGAAGTTTACCCGACCAAAATCCTGCTGTAACCCAAAGAGGCGACCGGCCAGTAGCACAAAATCATCACCAAATGTAGATCGTCTCGTGCAACTTGAATATTGCATAGTTAGGCAAGAGCTTACCGGAGAATCCGACTAACTACAAGGTTGGAAAGAATAGGATGGGGCGGTCGTTTTTGTGCATTTCTTTCACCACCTTCAGACCCAAGCAAACAGCAAGTACCGAGGCTGTTAGTCCTAGGCGTGGAATCGTCACCGCGCCCATTGGCTCCACGCAAGCATTACTGAGGAGAAGCGCCACAATACAATATCCATTTGTGCCTTCGATGTTTGTGTATACATCTGCACCATAGCCTATCTGGGAGGCGTCCTAAAAACAGTAAAATCCACATCTCGGTCTCTGCGATATTGCTAAGATCGATGAATCGTGCTTCCTCTATGCTCTCCAGTTCTGTTTTGCTTGACAAAATCTTGAGCCATGTCGCTCTTTGGCACTCGCTTGCATCATCACCCCGCTTCAATTCTTTTCTAACACAATCTTGCAGTAACCGCTTGATGGATGACAAAATCGGAGCACAGAACCCAAGCGGGTCTTAGGCTGAGGCGACGAATTAAAGCAATGATTTCCTTCAAGTCAAGTCAAGTCAATTAAAGCTTTATGCACCCGATAGGATGAATTTTCAGCATTTTCGACAAGTTACAGTTGGAAAAAAACGTTAAGTATCAGAAAAAGAAGAAAATATACATTTACTAAATGACAAACAGACGGGTTTACGTAAAATCCTAATGTGAGAGATGATTGTTCAAGTCAGCAATAATATTTGCTTGGTTGATCAAGATGAGAGCAAAATAAGGGATCATGCTGTTTTTATGTGTGGTGATGCGTGCATAAAGAATCCGAAATTGGGAACGGGTACTCGGATGAGAGACTGATTTAATGAGATGGGAGTGCAGGCATTGTTCTTCGTTGGACAGGATATGGCTGGTAAATCGATCGCATGAGTCAAACTGCTTGCTCACAATAAATTCAACCAAAACGATCTTTGAAATGCCGCTGCAACGAGAAAGAAGATTAAGAGATCTGGAAAAGATAACGAAGTCTTTCTCCTTCAAACCAGGAAAATATACGGGGGAACAGTACAACCAATGTGGAAGAATGCAAGCAGTCACAAATTTAAGAATGACATTTGAGGGAACGCCGAGCTTTTTAAGCCTAAAGGCGTAGAATGATAGCTTACGAACCCGAATACAAATGTTTTCAACATGTTTGGACCAAGAAAGATTGTGTGACAAAGTAACTCCAAGATATTTCACAGAGTTAGCTTTGGGGATGGTATTACCATTAACAGAAAGTTCAGGCTGATTAGTCAAAAGGTTTTGATAAGGTATGCCTGTTTTAAGGCTAAAAGAAACATCCACACATTTATCTACATTTAGCAATAAAGATCGGGGAGTCGACCAACTAAAAATGTTATTGAGACAAACTTGAAGTTGAGAGAAACAATTAGGAACAGTTGAGGGACAGCCAACCACCACATCATCAGCATACTTGCAGGCGATAAAGTTGGGAGGGATGGGAAGGTCCTTAATGTACAGTGAAAAAAGAAATGGAGACAAAATTGCACCCTGAAAAACTCCAGAGTTAACTTCTAGCAGGGAGGACGATTTACCGTTACAAAAAGTGTATTGCGTCCGATGAGTAAAGTAATTAATTAGTACATTCAGTAAATTAGGTGCCAAACCACAGTCCGAAAGACATTGAATGAGAATGCCGCGGTCAAGTGATCCGAAAGCATTTGCATAATCAAGAAAAGTTAAACGGACGATGCCAGCCCCTTTATCCAATAAGGATGAAACGGAATGAACAACGTGGGCAACAGCATCAAGAGTGGAAAGCGAATGTTTGTAAGCAAACTGAATAGGGTCATAAGTGACAGATAAAAGGGACAGCCTGTTAAGAAGGACTCTTTCAAAAACTTTCAATAATGCAGATGTGCAGGCAATCGGTCGATATTTGGAAGATCCCTTTTTGGGAATAGGAGTTATCCGAGCAGTTCTCCAACAATCAGGGATGCTACTCGATGACATACACAAATTGAACAACTCAGAAACAGGTGAAGCAAGTTGTTCAGCACACTCTTTCAGTAGGAAGGGGGATAACGAATCAGGGCCATGTGCCTTGTAAGATTTAAGGGACTTAAGGACATTCAGGACTTCCACAGGGGTGACAGATTGGTTCTCCCCAGTAGATGTAAATAAAGATGGTGTTGAGTTCTGTACTGTAGCATTTGCGAATTGACGGTTTAACTCCTCAACATCCGGAAAAGATCTGTTGCGTGATCCACAAAGCTGCTTCAAAGCAGACCACATGTCGCGGCAGCTCTTGTTTCCCATTACAGTTTCGATATATATCCGATTTAGGCGCTGTATTTCTATTTTGATCATTGATGATAGATGTTTGACAGCACTGCGCCTGCCAGTCTTATAAGCCTTTTCTTTGTCACGACGAAGCCGTTTTAGAAGAGGTGAAGAGAATCTGTCACTTCGAATATATAAGGTCTCAACTGGGCAACACAGATCATAGCAGAAATTAAGATAAGATGTAAGATGCTCACAACAGGAAGAGTTGTCTGCATTGGAAAAGACATTGAAGTCGGTAGATGAGACCATATCTCTAAGTTTGAATAGATTTTCAGGAGTACGACTTCTCCTTCGGATGGTTCTCGATGTGGAACGGTTCATATGGTGATGAAAATATTTACCGTAAATCTTAGGGTGCAAAAAAATGGAGCAGTGATCGGAGCTGCCTATGGGAGCCCGCTTCTCAATGAAAAAGATTTCGGGGCTATTTACAAAAATCCCGTCGAG